ATTACCAAATTTTGGTAAAATTTAGCTGTGGCTTTGAGAATTTTTACTAGTGACATATTTTACTTTATGCATAAAATCCCATTGTATTACAGAGATTATATGGAGTATATCAAACTAAAACATGGCTTATAGCATTTTTTGCAAAAATGAGTTAACTATATAGTCGTATAAAGTAGACATTCTTCTAGATAATTTGATATTTAAAATATTAATTTACATAATAAAATTTTTGTCGATGCCCTTCTTTTTTAAATTTTATATATGGTTAACCGTGATCTAAAATTAGAATTCAGAAATCCGATTGTCGATCCTTGCTGCAGAGTCATAGAAATGCATTTGTGTGATTGGCTAATTGATGTTGATCCAACAGGTTATACTAATAATAGATCATCATTGTTATTATTACATGAAATTTTAAATGTGATTTTCTCAAAATTTAAAAAAAGCTATAAGCCGTGTTTTAGTTTGATGCACTCCATATGATAAATAATTGACCTATACTCTACTCTTAATATTCTTATTATTATTAAACATGTCTTGATAAGCTCTACAACTTTTATTAGAAGTCTAAGAGTAGTTTACTTAGTAAGAAAAAAAGTTTTAGATTGAAGTGCTTCACATTTAGCTTAATAGTAAAATTTACTTATAAAAATTTGCAAATCCTCTTTAGATGACAAATAGATTGTCTATTAATATAATCTTTAATAGAATAAAGACTAGTTTTTACAAGATTTACAAGTATAAGATCTTTAATTGATTATATGCTTCTTTTTTTAGATAGATATTATAACTATAAATTGTTATTCTTTAAGCTTTTTTTATCAATTATAAATTAAAATCTCTATAGGCAAAATTGCTTTTTGTTTTGTTTTTTTTCAATATCTCTTTACTCCCTTTTCTTTTATATTTGTATATTTTCATCATATCTTCCTATACCTCTGTGTTTTTTTAGTCTGTTTTATGTTTTTTTTTTATTTTGCTTCTTGATGCGACAGGTAGCTGCTAGCTGATGAACAACAGGAAAAAGTCTTTAGTGAGTTAAGGACCCTGAAGAAGGCCAAAAGCTACTTAGACAGATCACGTCTGATGTATAAAATCATATGGGCAAGTTTTATTTTGGTTGTATCTCTATAGTTGTAGATAAAGTTATTGTAATTTTTGAAAGACTGGTACCATAATAAATAAGGCAGGACAGCTGAATTAGAAAAAAAATAAATTAAAATCTTTAATATCAATTATAAGAAAACAAATATACTATAGTTGCTATTACAAAAGCCATCAATTTTTAACTATAAAATTTTTAAACTTTTATAATTTTTTTAAAATAAAATAAACTAAAAAAAGTTTTTATAAATTTAATAGCTTTTTAATTAAACTATTAAATCTATAAATAAAATTTTTAGTATCTTTTATTAAAAAAAGTTTATATTAATTTAAAGTTATATATAGTGTAAAAATTTAGTGCTTATATATAAAAACATAACAAAATTTAACTTTATTAACAAAATTTTAAAATTTATTAATAAAATTTAAATTTATATTAAATTTTTCTGCATTTTTATTGGTCAATCATATTACACTGCAGCTAAAAAATTGGCACCTATATATAAAAAGTTGTTGACTTTAGGTAGTACTAACTATAATATAAAATAATTATCAATTTAGTTTTGATTAACAAGCTGTCAACTAATATAGAATTATAGATATTTTGTCTTAATATTGGTAGTTAATTCTTAATTAGATTAAACTGAATAGTAACAAAATATTTTGCAGTTTATATTATGATTGTATTAAGTATTATTTTAGTTAGATATTATAATAATTATTTATATTTTAAAATAAAGTATTATTAGTACTATCTACAAGATTTGGTTCTACAGTTTTTAAATAACTTTTAAATACAGTATTCTTGTAATAAATAATAGAACATAATATTATTATTATACTTATTGTAGCTATATATCAATTGTTAAATTAGATTTTTAGTAAAATTTAAAAATATTTTTAAATCCTTTTTTGAATAAACGTTTCAAATTTCACGTGAGCAAGATATGATTAAAAATTAATCGTTGCTATAAAAGTATTAGAAATATAATTTTTAATTTGGCCAATCCGAATTTGTGTAGATCATCCAATTAGGAAATCCGGCTAGGGGTCGTTTGATTCTGATTGGTCAATCACATTTGAGTGTCGCTAAAAGAAAACACGAAAATTTAAAATATAATCCATATTTAAATTGTCGGGTTTTCTTTTAGCGACACTCATTTATATGACAACTACATGATTACTATTAAAAATGATCTGCGGACACCCTTAAGTATCGCTGAAATTGGTATAAATATTTAAATTTCAAAAGTTTTTTTTTTTACTTGATATGTCGCTTAAATTATTTTTTCAAAACATGATTCAATATTTTATCTATCTAATAATTCTATTAAATGCATTTTCTATGGCTGATGCGGACAATAAAATTAATGATGGGTCTGTGGGTTGTTATATTGGTTATGGCACAAAATGTGATGCCATATTCCCAGAATCTGTACCATTAATTGATATGGTAACCTCTCAAGCTCCTATTGCTGGACAGAATATCACATTTAATCTTACTAATGTATTATTAAATGGATCTCTTACTACTGAACACCATATAGATATTATTTTAGAGTCTCAACCTAATCTGGTTAAATATTCTCAGCAGATTTGTATTGGAAACAACACTTGGTGTCCAATTCCAACTGAAAAAACAGTTGAAATAATAGTGGAAATTACAGTACCTGATTATTTTGACGTTTCAACTTTTAGTGTTTATCTCAGTAATTTTTATAAAATCGATAATGATGATTGTACTCCTAATATTCTTGGTTGTTCATGTTATTCGGTAAACAAGAATATAGTCTGCTTAGACTGGCCTGGTCAAACTGGTTAGTTTGTGCTTTAAAACTTGTTTAAAATACCATTCCAAAACATTTACATAATATTGATATTCTAGTATATAGTTACTGTATACTTGTTTGAGTATGTTAGTTTAAACCTGTTTTTATTTAGTAAATAATATTTACCGTTATATTAATTTATTTTAACTTATTATATTTGATGCGAGCGGTCTAATCGCAGTTGCTTTGGAATTTATGTTAGTTCAGAATAGAGGTCTATTATAAAAAAAATAA